ATCAATAGTTATTCTCCGGTCTACCAAAATCTCATAAATCGGGAAACAGATTTTGTTTCCAAAAGATATGTACATTTGGTTTTGCTGGTTTTAAGTGTTCTGCAGAACGGCTGTATGAAGCTGTATTTTACAATATTATTTTAAAGATTCAGTGATACATACACAAGCTTCCAGACAAAAAGAGACCACGTTCACAGCGCTGTCAAATAACGGACAAAATAATTCGAGAAACACGTATTAGCTTTATTATCATTAACTGGGGCATGCCTCCAACGACAAATCCATCTATTTTAGCTTTGGACGAAATGGAGATCAGTTTTACTGCCTGGCTAGTTGTCTGATTTAACACCATTTCGACTTGGAGTTAATGGTCACAAAAAAGTGACGAACAGAAAAAAAAGAATCCCATTGTCTCATTGCATACTATATTAGAGAAGATAGCCTTTACATTTCAACCCTCCTGATTGAAGTTAATGCACGTTCTTTTTCACATCGTGGGCGCATCAAAGGGCTGTTGATATAAAACGAGTTTCGGGAAATAAATTCATCACGATACAGCAAAGGTTCAAACTCGGTATTACACGTCTGCAAAGGAGGTCACTTTTACAAACAACTTGTGTTGAAACGGAACCAGCCAGCAGGGATTTTGAGTGACTTCCTTATTAGAGCTAAATTGTTAGTTGAAAGATCACGCTGGGTGGAACAGATGTTTTAATTGAGTAGATAAAATTTGGTACATATATAGGTATATCATAGGTTTGATTTTGAGCGGATTATAATGAAGTGAGCGGTTGGTGACAGAATGTTTAGTAGTAAGCGTTAGCTTGATTTGTAACGAAAAAAATTCGATGAGAGGTTCACGTGGTTGGTTCGATTAGAGGATCGTGTACGTTTAGGCAGAATAGAGTGATGACACAATAACCGGTGGAAAGTGGTCACAAATTTGTGTTTACTTTTGAAATTGGGTGGGTTTTGCTGTCCGACAAACCAGTTGCGACATCATCTCGGTTCACTCATTCTTTCGAAAAACATACATTTTCTATGAAACGGTTAATGGTCTCAGATAACTGGAATCATCATTAGAGAAACACAACATGTGCACATTTCGAAATTTTGTTCTTTCAATTTTCGCATCACAGACTAGAACGCTGCATTTTGGGGAGAACTGGGAGCTGCTTGCTGACGTGGAGTTTCATGAGCGGTTCGATTTCCACAATAACGCCCCCGTCAAGACTGTTACGATCACGATGGAAGTCTTTTGCTCGGTTAATCCACACATTCCGAAAGCGAGCAATAATCTGTTTTTCGCAACCACAAATGTGGTTCTATATGCCACCAGAANTGAGTCATTTATCGTTTCTGGTTGTCACAAAACTGAGTAAGAAAATATGTATGCGCGATTCATTTTAGCCACTGCACATTCAAAATGGTATTACTTTCAAAATAAAACTCGGTCTACGCTAATCGGAGCATATGTATGAAATGATGGAAAAAATCTTACTTCGGAACTAAATGGGAAACGCGCACGTGGGTTACTTTTTTACACACACAGACTCCGATTCCCAGTTCAACAAACTGAAATCAACATGACTGAATGTATCCTATTGTATTGCACTGTAATCACTTTAGTAGGTATGAAGCCTGCATTCCAGTTAAGCATTTATACAAGTTGGAACGAGGAGGAAACAAAATAGAAATGCAGCATGAGATTTAAATTGAAAAATGCTAACAAAGTTTGTGTGTAACATGTTCTTTGGTAACGACGACACGTGCCAATGAGGGTACCGTGGAATTGTGATAAATTTTTACTCACGATGGAACAACAATCATGGAAAGAGCAGGAAATTCGATCTGCATGCAGTAAATGTGTGCTGTCGAAAAGAATCTTATATGCAACCTTTTCACGTGTATTCACATGACGTTCGCAGAGGTCACTTACCAATTACTGCAGCGGAATTAAAGTGATGATGGATGATCTTTCTTTATTATTTTGGAAAAGACAGAGGAACCACAAAATAAAACGTGGAGAAACACTTTCTACACGAATTTGAAAACAATTGCTTGTTGAATACGAAACTGACGAAGTTTACGAATATGGAAAGAAAACCATCGAAGCTGAGGGAACATTTATTAACTACGCAGTCGATACCATCGGCGGATTAATCAAAAATAATTTCAGATGCCCCTCCAGGTTGAGTTGATGTACGTGGTCACTCCACCGCCTATATTCTACTTTCAATGCCTTGTGTTCATAGGCGAGCGTTTAAAATCGTTGATTCCGATTAGCTTGTCCTCGAAACTTGGGTCAAGCCAGCATTGTTGAACACAAACGGCACACGTGTTACGGTGGATGCATGAATCCACGGCACACGTTAGACCCTTGTTGTTTGTGAGCCACCTGATGTTCGTGCTGATTATTGATGGCACAGTCGTTTGCGATGGTGGTGTGCCAGCAACTGCATTTCCGTTTCTTCCTTTGAGTAGGAATCGAAAAATGAGCGAACGAGGATATAAGAGACAGTATTCAGCGGATCATGTTTGAAACTCAATAAGGGAGAGCGCGAATAGACCTTTCGAGTCATCATCATGAACATATTTATTTTTTTTCGCACAACCTGGTACATTCGCACGAACTAGCATTCTGAGTTCTGTTTTACACATTTCTGACTGAGATCCCTGATAACGAAATAAAATGATTACATTAACCATGATGTGTTTAGTAATGAGCAAGATGATCAGTGATAGACACCCACGATGACAGATATGCCTTCGAAAATTACGTGCAATTCTGTATTCCGTCTCAGGTACTGACTTAAAATTGATAGCAAGCAATTCAGACAACGAAATTGACTGCACTGTGAGGATCCACAGTGAGTGCTGCCCATTCGTTGAAACACCCATGGCGGTTTGCCCAATGAATACGGGCGAGGAGACACACCCATATTTTGCACAACACATCACCGTGTTGTTCGGCTCGCTACACGTGGTGCACCACGTACGCCTGAACTTCAAAGTATTAAACAGCAATGCGTTCACGGCGGGCATTGAAATAACAATGGACGGCCAAGCGTTCACCAGTATGGAAAACGTTAGTCAAATTAGTTTAACCGATCGTTTATGAATTATCCAAATTGTAAAACCAACCAATCCATGATAAGTGAATTCGCGAGTCAGATCACCAGAAAGATCAGAATTGTTTGCATTTTCATTGGGATAGACCATGAATAAGTAATACTATTTGGCGTAGAAGATGTCACTGACTTCTAGACGATTTTGAGAGAGTCTAAGGTGGAACAAGTTGAAAGATACATCATTGGATGAGTTGGTGTTGCATGCAAATTGTCAATCGTATCAAAGTAACGTGAGTGGATACATTGGAACCACTTCCGTAGAAAATAATGAGTAACCAAACTCCCGAATCTGCAGTTGCTGATAACTTGTCCATGAGGGAAACTTGGCAAGATAAATCAATTGGAACACAATATTATTTAGCATTCGTGAGCGTAAAGATTACATTTCTTTTCTCATCGTTTTAGGCCACGTTCTACCGGCAAAACGATCAAACATACATCTTTGCTTTGCTTGGAGCGATTGCGGTCAGAGGTTTACGCATGGTTTTTCGGAAGTCAGTGGTTTTACGAAAAACTACACCTCACTCGATTCAAGTGTTTGGACTATCGACAGGCAGAGATATCCATCAGTTCGGTAAGTGAAATGAACGTGATCTTTCTAATTCCTCCCACGTTCCATTGCACAATGCGTTTCATTTCGCTGATAAATTGATATGTGAACTTTGCACTTGATTGGAACAACTCGACGAACGAGGGTGATGCAGTTCTTGATCGCCATTATAGTGTCTATGTTTACTTGACCGCAATTGTTTCCGCATTTTACAGACCCATGCAAACCGTACAACACATTGAAAGATCGAGGTGTACCGATGCTCCCGAACGACATGGTCTTGTTCAATCGGTCCTATTTATACGTGGACGACAAACTGATTATCTGCTATTTGTGGGAGCTATCAGATCAGTGGAGCAAATATGCTATGAAGTGTGTTTACGGTCTGGACAAACCAAATTTATCCTTCACATGTAAGTGTTGAAACTTGCTACATGTTCCTTGATCTCATATCATCCGCCACGAGTGGGTTCAACTTGCTCAATTCATGGTGTATTTAATTTCAGTGCTCGGACCGATGGTATCTCAGGTTATTGCGTATCAACCTGAGGCAAAATTATACTTTGGAATCGGGCCGGAACTATTGAGCATCGTTATGTCCACAGATCTAGAGCGGCCCTGGATCGGTATCAACCTATACGGATACCAGATCAACGGCCTTAACAAGGGCGTGATAAAAGCGGAATATCTACTGTGGGAAGAAACCGCAGAGTTTAATTCTAAATTGACTGGTTTAAACTGCACAAAATACACGGCTGAAAATTGGCACTGGGAGTCCATCACTGAGTTTAGTTCATATGTAACAGTTTACCAAAACATTGTATGAAATTCAATCGACTGTTTCTTGCACCTGTTATCGACATGTACGATACGAAGTCTTCCGAACGTCTGTCCGATCCCACACTATCGCTAAACCTATAACGTTTTCTATCATTGAATTCAGTTTTTTGCCATCATTCTGCTGTTTACAGTTTGCTATAACGGAGTCTACTATGGCGACAAAATGGTTGGTGATTGGAGTAGTCCCGTTTGATTGGAGGAACTGGCTGACCCACCCTTGTCAGCGCTCATCCGTGTGCAACAACAACAAACGGACAACAGTCCGATAATTGTCGCCAGAACACAGCTCAATTTATTTC